CATTGGCGTTGATTGAAGTACCCTTAATGTTAGGAGAAATTAACGACGATTAGATATAGTATTTATAACACTACGAATGGTGTCTAATTAGGAATACAACAGGACTAGTCAATGCCGACCTAGAGTTGGCATGCCGGGTGTGTCTGTTACGAAGGCATTCAGAGATTGTCAGGCGAAGTCGAGGAAGTACCTAAGTCTGATGTTGAATTTGGGAGGAAATGACATAGCCCTCAACACGTGAGATGGATTTCTCAGAAGGTCCACAGGAGTCATTCTGCCTGAAGCTACCTAGGGTTAGCAAATGTAATACAACGGGAAAGCATGACTTCATTGCATCTTGATCGCTCCTTCCTACTTTCCTACAGTGAGGCGTCATACCACGTGATCCCCCTGAAAGGGGGCTGCACAGTCTGTTCCAGGGGTTTCCCGCACTTCAGGAATGTCGTCGTCTTCCTGAAGGTGACGGACGACTACAACATCTCTTAAAACCGCCGAGGTCAATAGACGAACCAATAGAAGTTGAGAAAAGAAGAATTGTTATACAATATGCACTGAACTCGTTCTTTTTCGAGAGCTCCAAGTTCCTTGGTAGCTCATCCCTATTGCCTTGTTCCAAGCCCCTGTCATGTTAACATCTTCGTTCCTCGTGTCCTGTTCTTGCAAAATGCCACCCTTAATTTTCAAATCGCACTGAATCGCACTGAATCGCCCTGGGGTTGCGCATATTCATGATCGCTCGTTATCCTGTAATGCTTCGGACCAAATCTTTATGCACCCCGATGCATGCGGGCCTCGTCGTAACCAGACTCGGCCCGGCACTTGGTCTAACTGGTTTCTCTTGGCATAATGCAAGGTGTCTCTAAGAAATTCTCTCATCCGAGTCGCCTTCCGGCATCTCATTCGTCTCGGCTCTTTCCTCGCGACGAGGGCACACGGTTGTGGTGCCGCAATGGCGAGGCGGGGCGCGAGGTAGAGAGACCCATCCCTTTGATGTGCTCGAGCGGGTCGGGTACGCTAAGCTTATCGCCCGTATATCTCGGCGTATTCATCGGGTCAATCGTCGTCTTCTCGTAATTCACAATGTTGATCGGCGGCGGCCGGCCGCGCTTCCGATCAGGACCAGTGTAGAGGAAGGTTGAGACGAGAACCAAGACCGTTCCAATCAGGAACTGCGAATATGTTAGCGAGCTATACGTATATAATAATCATTTGCTGTTCTTGTTCGTGACCTACTGTCAATGTGACTTGGATATTGAAGAACCAAACGCTGAACAAGAAACCAATAACAATGCTAATACTCGTAGCAAAATTCTTGGCGATGTTGTCGGCGTAGTTGATGCAGAGCGAGGCAAACACTCCACCAAACGCTTGCAGGATGATCAATGCCCAGACAATTGAATTGTAGCCGTCGAAGACTCCATGCTTCGCAATCTCCTGGCCGTCTTTGAACACGATACCCACTAATGCAGGGAATAGCGAGTAGAATGACAGTTGGATGTTGCGAGTCCAGACTGATGCTGGGTTTTCCGTGTCCTTGAGGACCTTCTCGAAGTAGACTCCCGTCAATCCTGAGAGTACTGCTACGACTACAACAGCTGATAGTCCGATCGAGTAGTTCATGACAGGCGCAGTATTTTGATCCTCCTCGATCCCTTCGTACGTCGCCGAGCGCTTTGCGAGCGCTTGACCGACCTCAACCACCGTGTCCATGCCGCGTTTCGTGAGCTCCCTCGCAACGTCGCCCATGCCATTCGCCATCTGGCCTAGCTCGTGCACCGATCGAGGGAAGAAGTGGTCCGTCATGTCGTGGATCATGAACGAGCTGTCTTTCGAGTTCGAGGACGGTATCGACACGATCGAAACACCAATAGTCAGAATAATAAGCGAAACCCAGCGTCTGATGGTCAACGATCGGCCGAGCATGGTCACAGTGAAGATGGCAGTTGTAAGAATCTTCAGCTGGTACAGAATTTGGAAGTGCACCGGATCCAAATTCCCTACCGCAACGTACTGCAGCATATTTTGTATCGTGTAAAGAGTCGCAGGAATAGCCAGCTTCCATCCGTCACCAGAGAATACAGAGTTGTAGATCTGCTCGAATATGACGGTCGCGGGCGTGGAGGGCGCTAGGTTTCTCGCAACTTCGTACATCGCAAATGTCATGGAGATAGCCAGCTTGATCACCTCGGTCAAGAATACTGCTGTCGAAGTGAAGTATCGGTGGTCGCCGGTCGGGGGCATTATTCGGGAGTAGTGCATGAGGAGGATCAACGCCGAGTTTTGGAAGGTCAGCTAGATGTAAAAGTAACAGAGTGTTAGCTATGCCATGCATTCACTTTGCACAATCGTCTGCGACTGTCCATACCGTGATCAGCGAAACTTGCTTCATGGGCATGCCGAATAAGGTCGGCCCTCCCACGGGTTGCGGGGTACCATCAAGGAGAGCCATGATGAGTTAGAAAATTGCGGTCGCAGCTCAACCAAGGTCGTGATAGTCTTTGTTCGGTATCGTGTAGGTAATGTTTTCTTAGCTTTTCTGAAATACCGTTTGGCCGTTGAGGTTTTCAGTTCAATATTTGTCAGTTCGGGCCAATTAATACCCAAAACTCCAATGTGAGAATAATTTTTGATTTGTCCGTTCTAAAATGTTGTCGCAGTAAACGTTATTGAACTTTGCGCTGTGCGACTAGTATCCGATTACAAACAAAACAAAAATAGAACCAAAAAAATAATTGAGGGAGTTGCGTCGCGTCGTGCTTGATAATTAATTAAAAAATAAGAAATGCAAAGCCCTTGAAGATATTGCCGATTTGGGTGCACGCGCTTCACCCACCCACATCCAGCTCACTCCCAAGACCGGGGGCCAGACCTTGTTAAGCTCTTTTTAACCCCTGGATGTGACGTTAGAGGTACTGAAGTATGCGAGCTCGTCTGTGAAATTCGGTTTCAACGGCGACCAAGGTTAACGTTAAATGATACATCCAACTTGGTAGTGGTCTCTCTACCTACCGTTGGAATCGGAACAGAAATTAATAAAATATGAAAATGAAAAAGGGAGAAGAGTTTTCGGGAGTCGCTCAGGTCGTCAAAAAGGGCTGCAGTGCTGTCGTGCTACAAGTACCTGTATGACTTATTAGGGCTGGCCTATTAGCGATGATATCAACGACGTTCGAATTTTCCCAAATGTGCAAGGATCATCAGAGTCCAAGTTGCGCTGTGCCTGGGCGCTACAGGGTGTGTACCACCCATCACAGCACCACAACAGGCACCATTCTGCAAATAATGTCCAATTCCGGGTAGCAAAGCGCGGGATGCAGATCCTAGCCGTGGTATGCCTTCCATGTGCTCCTCAGGGAATCGACGTAGCAAACAGCAACGACTACGACATCAGTGCCCTCCTTCTTCAGCTAGCAAAAAACTCCTTCAAATGTTGATAATGTCTAATGAGTAACCATTAAGTTCCCCGAGCTCCATTCAAGCTTACTACGTACATATATACCTCAGCTTTCGCACGTGGAAACACTTCATGGGTAAAGTAGTCCGAGATCAACAGATGAAAAAAAGTAGGTATCTATTAGTGATCTGGTCAATCGTCAATCTATCGGTGTTGCGCCTTGACCTCTTTCGGTGCCGCGATCTTCACGGAGCCATCTGTTTCCCGTAGGGGACTATCCGAAAAGAGCTATGTATTCTTGATATTCTCCGATCATTTCGAACGACATATGTTTCGAATTGTTTTGAACTGTAGCTTAAAAGGTATCTGAGTCGCTTCAACTACATCAGTGGTGTCATTGCGGTTGTTTGTTCAGTCTACATATCCGGACATTTGCGTATACACGGACACTGCCTTAGGCAGTCAGACTTGCTATCTTCGTTTCATTAATCTCCAATAAACTCATGAACGCGTGATAGCGATGCATACTCTACAATCACAAATGACAGTTCAACTCAAACGTAGGTATCTCTCGCTTTAACTCAGATGAGAGTTGAGTTCTTAAAGTGCCATCGCAATTAATAAATAAGCCCCCGTGAGCAGCATGACTTGCATTAACCGTTTTTCCTGCTCGACATATTCAGAATCCAGATGTACAGAACGAGTGGTAGGAATATTTTAGTTTTCCTACGGTTCTCCTACTGCAAGTCATCTTGATGGACTGTTGCTTGGCAGTAGAGAACCAACCGATTTTGCCTTGATTTGCGATTAGTTCTTGGATCAAATCGCGGGGCTGGATTCTGTCTTGGTCCACTTGGTCAAGTCCATGCCAATCGACTTTTTCAACGTGGACAAATTAAATATCTATCAATGACGGATAGTAAATCTCGATGATCGAAGCGGTGAGGTTAGATACTATTGAAGCTAGTAATGACAGGTCTCAGATGTTCATATTTCTTGTTTATGTCCGCTGAGGGGCTAAGGCCTCTAGGATGGAGACTAAATTTTTGGCAATAGGGGGCACGTCTTCATGCTTGCGAACCATTCAAATTATTTTTCCACGTCATGGAAATATGTGTACTGGTAAACCTGAAGGTCTCCTATTCGTTTTAAAAATGTCTATATCAAAGTTGGTGGTTTTATACAAATCCGCATAAGTGGTATATTCCCATACTAAAATTCGAATTACCGGATACGTATCCGGCCATCACCACAACCACTCGGTCTACAGCAGTAGGCTCCATATCAGTATGACGAGCGAAAAATTAGAAAAATACCAGTACACTTTATGTAGAAGCATATCTCAGATAGTGATAGAGATACTAACTTATATAGTTGGCATAAGTATCAAGCAAAGTCAAGACAGACAAACAACCTAGGATGTTTCCTAGCTACCTACATGTATTTTTAGCCCTGGTTCTTGGCACAGTACGTACTGTTAGTGGCCCCTCATATTTCGTGTGGTGACACTAATATCCCCCAGCTTTGACCCCTTTCTTCGCCCCCCTCTTTACCACTCACCTCTTAAGCTACAGCAACAACAAATAGATTCCATTGGACATGAGTAGCCAGTTTGGCCGAGTGGTTTAAGGCGGTGGTTTTAAGTCTATCATCAACTTGAGTTGTGACCTTTGAACACCATTATCGAAAGATGCGCAGGTTCGAACCCTGCAGCTGGCAGCATGAAATGTCATTTACTTTTGCCCATTGTGAGTTTAACTTTTCTTTTTAAGTCATATATTCCGATTTACTGTTAATATGCATTATTATTTTGCACTAAGACATCTGGGAGGGTTGAATGCTGTCACGTACTGGCAAAAATAGTGAGCCAAGGCCATAAGTCCAAGCCAAACATCTGAACTTCACTGCTGACTCAAACCACAATACAAAACTAAGCAACTCATACAATAACTATCCATAGGCGGTGAAATGCTGGCTTCTAACGATATTTTTTCAATTTAATTAGTGTGGCAGTCTCTGTATAAATGAGGTTTTAAGTTGCTTCATTTCACTTACACTAGGTACCCCCACTGTTGCATATGGGGTACTGAGCGCAGTTCTAATAGTGAAGAGGGGTGCTTTAGATAACCTTAATCGACAATGATGGCAGATTTCACGCCATATGCTGAAGAAGCCAGGGCAGCTTGTGGCCATACAAATGGATCTGGAGTATTGGAAGAAGCATTATGCCTGGCATGCGATACGAGGCAGCGAGGTCAATATGTGTGATACGATTTATTTTATGTGTTGCTGGGCAGCTGCCACTAGCTGGTATTTAGCCCACACTCCATTCGCTTCTAGCTTTCAATACATCAAGCATCCAAAACATCATTTTGCTAGCCATATTAAGCAATAGTTGATCGTCTGAAGTTGATTGCAGGCGAAGAGCCTCCAGAGGTTGGCACTGATAGCCAACCTCGACTTATCCCGCGAAATATCAGACTGGATGATTGACCAGATGCCGAGTCAGACTGGTCTAGCTAGATGTCCTCAACGGTATCTACTTAAGCTCGAGCTATGTATGCTGCGACTCCTGAGTTCCATTTCCTTGCTTCCCCTAGCTTCGGCATTTGCTCGAGGAACTTGGATCCATACACCGAGTTCCATAAACACGCGCTAGGCTTACCTTAACTGATGGATTGTTGGTCATCAAGTACGAGAATTAATGAAAAAGGTAACCAAAACGTGACAGCTACCACGGCTCGACCCCGTGTCGTATCGCATGCCAGGCATAGTGCTTCTTCCAATACTCCAGATCCATTCGTATGGCCACAAGCTGCCCTGGCTTCTTCAGCATATGGCGTAAAGTCTGCCATCATTGCCGATAAAGTATGTATGTACCCAAGGTACCTATTTTGCTCCCAGTTGGCAGATCGTTTTCAAGGTGGTAGGACTACCGGGGTCCTGCCTCTTAAACAAGCACACACAAGCCCAATAGTGAATGCAATGGGCATAGCACACATATCAATGCAACTGATTCTATTATCTCCATCTATTTTTTGTTTTCCACGTGTAGATGAGAATCCTTAATGGGAGCAAGCGGCGCCTCCTATGCTGCATGCTAAAGCATGCAGCAGAATCCAAACAGATGCCCCATACAAACAAGCAACGCACCAGCACCTAAAAGCACAAACATCGTTTCCCTGGGCTCCCACCACATACAATGTCTGCTTCTGGCACTCGCAGTTCCTAATAATACACACAAATTTTTCCTGTTTTGGTAGTACATGAGCAAACTCCCCTCCTTGCCTAGGTAGGTACGTATGAGATAGGCATAGTTGAGCCCAAAGCCACAAGGTAAATCTTCCGCATCCAGAGGCGTAGATATCCAGGTCAGGCACCCATAATATCAGCTATCCCGCCTTTGATGCCATCCGTTACATATTCCGAAATGGTACATAAAAAGGAGATTGTGGTAGATGTAATTAGTCGTCAAGTAGCGATACTGTGTTCTCCAATGTATAAATAATATGATTCCCATCTTGATTCCCGCCCAAACTCGCGTGCTCGGGGGTCGTAAAAAGTCAATACGCTAAGCAAATAATGATCATATGCGTGTATGTTTTAGACAAAGGGAAGATGCGGCGTACACCGCTGCCCAGCTGGCTGTCTTGCGGAGAGATGAGTTCGACATCCGTTCATTCAATCATCATCACCCCACCAAGGGACGGGAGACCCGATTGGGGAGCTAATTTGCCCCACGGCGCTCAATCTCGCAGCGCTCTTCTTGGTCTTCTTATGTCCGGCAGCCGATGGTGCCAGGAATTCGGTCGTAGGGGAAACAAGACTATCCGGTCTCGCGACCTCTTTCTCCGGAACAGGTTGGAGCGATCCTAATCTACGTCGGTCCACGACATCCTCGAGATCGTCATAGTCGACATCGTCGGTATCGATATCCTCGTCAGTCCCAAGTTGAGCATCATGCACGAACTTTGTCGGGCTGCTCTTCGGGCTCACTGGGCTCGAGTCGGGTCGAGGTCTCCCGTGAGTCTCGCGGCTGCTGTGGAAGGGAAACGAGTGTGGATTATAGTCTAGCTTAGATCTCGTTTTACTCCGACGGTCGGGCATTGGGAACACAATATCCTCGTCCATGAATTCACTCAGGTCGGGGCTCGGCTCTGCTTGGTCAATCACATCGATACTATCAATCGGACGATCCAAGTAGAGGAGCACGCGCTCGTGACGGGCTTTTCCAGTTCGCCGAGACTCGGGCTCGGGGGTGATTCTGTTCAAGCCAGAGGTTTTCTCGGTAGGATCGCTATGACTGGTCGAAGGCGGAATATTAGACTGCATCGGGAATCGGCCATACCCGTTGCTGGTTCTATGAAGGGAAGACGATCTTTGGGGCATATGCTTTGGCTGTTTGGCTTTGGCACGAGCATCGCGAGCATCCCTAGTCTCCCTGGCCTCATGTCTCTCTGCCTTCTTTGGATTCAATGCCATTTTCTCACTGCACTCGATGCTACCGCTCCCGCGACTACTCAAGGTCCTGTCCTCCTCGATTTCGGCGATTAAGTTCTCCCGCATCCTAGCCCTCTTCTTCCGTAGTGCAGCGAGAAGCATCTCCTCCTGTCTCGTTACAGCCATTAACCGTGCGTTATGGGGTTCGCTAGCATTGCTTGCCGCCGGTTCTTGTCGAGCCCTTTCTGGAGATTTCTTGTAGAACTCTACACTAGTGGGTGACAAAGGAGGCGTCGGCTGGTCTGATGTATGGGAGTTTTGCGACACGCGCTCTCTTGTTTGCTGAGAGAGGATGTGATCCAAGTTGTTCGACATGTGGTCTCCTGATACTGACGATGCAGCTTCGGCTGTGGATGCCAATGGAGTAAAGGCGACCGCTCTTGCTTCTTGTACACTATAGTGAGTATGGTTGCTGTAGGTAGGAGACAAGACGGAGCCCGTAGTCCCCGTCGTAGAAACAGACGCGCGGGCATCTTGATGAGATGGTAAGGATATACGAGTTGCTGTGCTTAGAGATGAAGTTGATGAGTTTTGGGTATTAGTTGACGGCGTACGACTGCTGTTCTTGGATTTCGGGGAAGCATGGGGAATAGTGAGAAAGTCACTGAGCTGTGCGTATGATGCTCCCTTCGGATTCGTTGAGTGACTGCTAATCGATAGCCGTGAAGTGCTTGGCTGCCGTTGACTGGAGGATACACTGAGATCATCACGAAAACTACTGTTGTTGTCGTAGGATGGCAAAGATGAACCTGGCCTAGATTCGTCATCTGATTCTGAATCTGTAAGCGACAACACGCTGTGCTGTTGCCGGTCGGAGTCCAATGTACTCATAATAGATGGCGTGGCCTTTGACGTCCGTGTATGTCGACTTGATATACTCGCCGGATAACCACTTCTCGACGTCGGTCGTAGTTGCATAGTGCTCGGCGTTTCCGCCCTAGTCGCGGTAGCCTTACTTGCCTGTGAGGTATTTCGGCTATGGTTCCACCTAGCACTGGGATCTCTATTCAATGAATGAGGCAATGGTGTAACCATATCCTCGCGAGATACATCATGGGCCTTTGGTTCGTATGTCCGAGGTAGCAGGCGTTGCTGAGCCCCCTCGCCTCTCTCCTCATCTTCCTCATCCTCTTCTGTCAGTTCTGTTGCATTGCGGAACGACATTTGTTCGTAGTGATCATAAAGTTGGTGTAGCGTACTTGCATCGGTTGTCCCCTTTAAACGGCCTGATCTGGTCGATGCGTCTATGCTTCGTTGAGGCCCAACGGTCATATCTGGCCTTGGAGTAATTTGATTTCCACCGGGACTTATTGGCGATTGTCGCGTTGGCGAGACTATCGAGTGCGACATATGGGACATGACCGACGGCGACCTCATTACATAATTATTTCCCAAGACTGGTCCGACTCCATTGGTGTCTGAATTCTGATCCTTACGACTCCTCAGCCTTAGTTTTGAGAAATCCAATCTAGAGGGTTTCTTCCTGACTTGTCCCTTGCCAAAAAGTGCTCCATCTATGTCCAATAACGCGCCGGCTTTCGTCGGAAGCCCCTTTGCCATTGCCGAGTTGGAAGTCTGCTGGGATATGGACAGTGGCAGCTTGGCCGGATCATAGTGTGGATAGTTGGTGGACGAATAGTTGGTAGAACTGGATTGGGGTCGGCGAGTAAGGGTTTCGTCTGTCATGGCATCCCGACTGCGAGTACCAAGGGTGACTGCTGACCGTTTTGTCTTTAAGTCTTTCCCATAGGGGCCATTCGCGCTGCGCAGCCGTCGTGGAAGAGCCTCCGATTCCTCCTCCCAGAGTGCTCTACCATAAGTCGTTCCAGCAAACCGATCCTCATCATCTCCATCCAAAACGCCAGACTGACTAGCGCTACTCTCAGATATCGATATGCTGATACCACCAGCTGACTCTGTCTCCCACGACCGGCCAGGCTCCCTCGTTCCAGTAGGTGGGCTAACGTTCATTCCACCAGTTCCCAATATCTTCTCTGCCTTCGAAAGGGGGTTCGACATTGTTACGCCTGGTGGCTGTTTCGAGGAGCGGCCCGGCATCGGGAACGTGAACTTAGATTTGTGGCCCATTTTCTCGAAGCGGGTTGTCTAATTGGCCAATGCCTCAATGACAAGATCTAGGCAATTCGATATATGCTTCGTCGTTCGCGGCTAGGGCTGACAAGTGAGCCAAGCCTCGCTGTGCACCAGAGCGGGAACTG